CCCATGCACAAATTTCGTGCATCGAGCCTCTAGTCTATATATATAAAAGGCTAAGTGTCCATCCAACCAGTAGCTATGATGCGCACTGACCACCAGGAGGCAGACACTCAACGTAGGAGCTGCCATGACGCGCACTGGCCATTTAAAAATAAATGGCATCACGGACCTGGCGCCGATAAACCAACACTTGGCTTCCCCCAAGGGGAAGCAGGCCCTGCCACTACCCCAGAGTGATACCCCACCAAATCACAGCCAACGCTGCCAAGACCCCATGGTGCACAATGTGGCCCACAACCCAGCCCAGCCCAGAAATGGTCGTTGTGGGCCGGGTAATGATGTCACGTAGCAACACCAGGCTTCCTCTCCCTAGTGACAAGCCTCCTTGGAGTTTCTTCAGCCCAGAAACACTACTTGCTTCATAGCCAGGTGCAAACATTTTACAATTTAACCAAATGTTTGTGAATCCTTTTCCCGTGCCTCATCTCATTTGATTCTCACAGAAGTCCTGGAGTAGGTAGATATGAGACTCGATGGAATCCTATTTTCTTTTCACTAGCCAGAAAACGGAGATTTAGAAAGTTCAGAAATTTGACCCGACTAAAAAGAAGAAAAGGTGGAACTTGAAAATGACTTCAGGTTTTCTCACTGCACAGAATACAGTCAAACACTGCTACAGATAAATATTTTACCCTTTGTTCTCCAATGATCTACAATAGTAATCTGCTTTGTGTTGATATTTACTGCTGTGTTGCTGACAATTACCTGAAAGAGAACTTGAGGTGCTTCACTGGCCTGGAAAAAGTTTAGCTAAATCAGAAAGCATGTCTAATTAGGCAAGTTTATACACACGTGTGTTTCCATCTGTCATTGTTGATTATGAATCTGGTTGACATTCTATTATAGAGAAAGGGTGAATAGCGACATTAAAATATTTCTTCTAATTAATTTCCTTTCAATGTGCACAAATCCATGCGCTGGGTCACTAGTTAATAGATAAAACAAGAAACGTACCTAAGTTCATGCTTCAGAAAGTTAACAAGGGGGTGATCATCATTTAAATTATCAAGAGTTGTTAAATAATACTTCATGGAACTCAGCCTTAAAGGATAAGAGTTGAAGAGCAGAGGATACAGAGAGATATTCCAGGTATGGCTGACATGGTGAATAAAGCTCCAAAGCCAGGAATGAGTTTGGCCTGTTTGGAGAACATTGCAGAAACTGGCCTATTTGGAACAGACACTGCCCATTGGCAGGCAGTGGCATATAAGATTCGCCAGGTAAGATGAGATCAGATGGAGGAAGGCTCTGAAATCCAGGACAAGAAATCTGAACTTTGACGAGCATTCTTAAGAAAGAAAAGAACTGCTTTGTTCTTTTTTTGGTTTTTGGGTTGTTTTTTAAGATCATAAAACACTTTGGCAATGCAAACTGGTCCTTTCCCTGCCTTCTAAAATTAGCCCACTGATTTCCCACTACCCAGCTCATATTACACTACCCTTGGTACACAACTATTAATCACTTCCGTGAAGATAATGTCTCTACTCATGTTTGTACTGGCCTCAGGGCTCCAACTGCCTGTCAAACAATTACCTTCACAAGTTCTTCACCTATCCCACATCATTGGTCCACCCTATAAACACTTATTGTCCATCCCATGACATGTGCAAACTAAGAATTTAAAGATGACTCAGCCCATGCCCTCAAGAAACTCCGAGTCTGATGTAGGCAGAAGTCAATAAAATGAACTAATACAATACAGAGTGGTAACTGCTGGAGTAGAGGAATGCTTGAAGTGTCCTGAGAGCTGAGAACAATAACATCAGTTTGGAGACCAGGAAAAGATAGAAAACACTTAAGAGAAAGTGTTGGCTGAACTGTCTTGAAGGAAAAGAAACGTCAAAGGGTGGGGAAGAGACCTGTAGATAACAGTGATTACCATCAGACTGCAAAGGCTGGGCAGAAACATATAGATACACGGTAGAAGTCATCAAGCACCACACCATGAACATCATTCTCTCATGCTAAGAATTTTGTGTTTTAGCATAGCTGAAAAGTTTCAATAAAAAAAATAATCACATTTGTTTTTCTTAAAAAGTGGGAGACGGATTGAAAGGACACCACAAAACTTTTTGTCTTCCTATCATAACGTACAACAAAAATCCGATAAAGGCTGCTATAACATTCAATTGATCTCCTGTTATCCATGCCTATCTCCAAACTAGGCATAGCGCACATCCTTCAGAAAAAAACCGCCCCTAACTTCACAAACACATTAGTCTTTCCTTTCTCAAAACTTCTAAGGGATATCTGTCTGCAGTGCACTGTGTCAGCAACTTACATTTTTGCCTAATTTACATTTAAATTTCTTCTCCCTAACAAGTACATAAGCTCCCTAAGGAAAAAAAAAGTCATATCTTTTTATATTTGTGTAATACACACACACACACCTACCTTTCTTCACCCAGTAGCACCTAGGAGAGTAATGTACCATTCTAAAACAAATAATGCCTTTGAACTGAATACATGGTCTCTTTTATCCATGAGTAAAAATATTCTACTATTCCCCATAAATGAGGAACAAAGTAAGATGTATAATTAGGCAAACCTGAGAAAAAAGTTAGTGCAGTGACAGCAGGTAATGTATACAAGGGAACTTTCTGGGAAGAAGAAACTGTTCTAATTTATGATAGGTGTGTGCTACACTGTTGTGCGTAAAAATGCTCAAAGTCACTAGTCATCAGAGAGATGCAAATTAAAATGACAATGAGGTTTTACCTCACACCTGTCAAAATGGCTACCATCATAGAAACAGTATGGAGTTCCATCAACCAATTAAATAGGAACTGCCATTTGACCCAGTGATCCCACTTCTAGGAATATAGCCTAAGAAACCAGAAACACCAATCAGAAAGAATGTATGCACCCCTATGTTCATAGCAGCACAATTTACAATAACTAAGATTTGCTGACAGCCCAAGTGCCCATCAGTAGAGGAGTGGATAAAAAAGCTGTGGTACATTTATAACATGGAATACTATGCAGCAGTGAAAAAGGATCTCTTTCCCTTTGAGGCAGCATGGAGGACCTGGAGAGTATCATGCTAAGCAAAATAATCCAGTCAGAGATAGACAAGTATCACATGATCTCACTCATATGTGGAATCTAATGAACAAAATAAACTGATAAACAAAATAGATCCAGAGACAGGTTGGTGTTAACTCAGTGGTTGAGCGTCAACCTATGAACCAGGAGGTCATGGTTAGATTCCTGGTCAGGGCACATGCTGGGGTTGTGGGCTTGATCCCCAGTAGGGGGGTGCAGGAGGCAGATGATTCTCTCTCATCATTGAAGTTTCTATCTCTCCCTCTGAAATCAATTAAAATTTAAAAAGAAAAATAGACCCAGAGATAAACATGGAACTGTCAAATATCAGAGAGAAGGGGGGAAGAGAAGAGATCAACCAAAGAACTTGTATGCATATATATGCATAATCCATGGACACACACAGATAATAGTGTGGCAAAGGCGGGGGGAGGGGCTGGAAGGGGTCAATGGGGGAAAGAGGGATATATGTAATACTTTCAACAATAAAGATTTTCTAAAAAATAAAATATTTATTTTATTTTATGTAAGATCTGTACATTCAATATATTCAACTTTTACCTAAAAACCTATAAAAGAAAGGGATGGGGAGCACAGAGTTATAGATGAAACAAGACTTGAAGAATATTGATGATACTTCTTGGGTAAAGTGTAGAGGGTTTCATTAAATTATTCTGCATCTACTTTTCCAAAAATGTAATGTGTAAAAATTTCCATAATAAAACGTCATATATGCATATATAACTTAAACGGATGAAAAAGCTGCATTAACAAAACTAAAAAGTAACTCAGAACATTAAATTACTTATTCTCTTAATGTGTGAAATAATGTGATATTATAACTTTTAAAGTGGTTTTACTGGCTCTACGATTCTAAGAAATATCTTCTAAGGAAAACCTACTGTTGATAGCACAGACAAAAAAAAAAAAAAAAAAAGCTGAGAAGCCACAGGTTCCTTAGACACCAGATAGTAAAATTAACCAGCCCTATTACCAAATATACTCAAAAAAAGCCAGTACAATTTAAAGTTAGAATTCTCTAATCTTCAAACGGTGATGCCCAAAGACAGCGACTAAAAAGGCATTCGTAAGATTTTGGAAGTACAACACCTCCAACGACAGACTCAACACCATTCTGAAGAGTTTTTAAATAATCCAGTCATTTCACCTCAGTAATTTAAACTTTAAGCCTCATTATAGGCTCATACTTTGCATTCTCTTCTCACCGATCAGTTTCTGAAAAAGAATCCCGATCCTCACCTAAAACACACTTGCACCTGCAGAGCCGAGGGAGGGAGCCTTGCTCTCGGGTGAGACGCCTGGGCACTCACGGGCCCGCTCCAAGGTGACACCACTTCAGAAGGCAATGGTGCCAAGTAGATCAGGAGAGTTCGCAGGAACCATTCCCGCAACTTTCAACAGCAACTCCTATGGAGTCGTGCCAAACCTCGCCGGAGTGAACAGCCTCCAGCCTGGCGAGTCCACTCCCAGCCTCACACACACACAACACACACGCGCGCCCACAAAGCCAACCCACCGTGCGGCAGGAGATGAGATGGCAAAACCAGAGCACACCCAGAAAGTTGGTCACAGCAAGGAGGTGGTCCGGGCACGGACACACCGTTCTGCCAGCGGGCGCAGAATATGCACACTCCCGCGGGCGGAGGAAGGGCTCGGCCAGGCCCGCGCGGGCACGGGGAGCGCCGAGGATGCCGGCGCCGCGGGCACAGCCGGACGCCCTGACATTGGAGCCTGGCAGCGGCCGCGGCCGGCGCTCTCTCTCCGCCTGACCCCGCGGGGCAAAGGGACCGGTCCGCCCGCCGCCGGGCCGGGCGGGATAGAAGCGCCGGAGCGTCCGCTCGGTCCCGGGAAAGCGGCGCGGCCACGGGCCTTCTTACCCGTGCAGGCCGAGGGCGCGGCGCCGCTTGTGGAGCAGGCAGAGCAGCAGGAACGCGGCCCCCGCCAGCGAGGAGTTTCGCGCCGTCAGGTACTTGCTGAAGGCCGCCATGGCACCGCGGGAGCGAGCAGCCGGGAGAGGGGACGCGGCGGAGACTGCCGGAGTGCAGGAAGCGCGGGGGAGACTGGGAGGGGAGGAGCGCGGAGGGAGGGCGGGGCCGGCCGCGCAGGACCGCCCCCTGGCGCGCGCCGCCGCGCCGGAGCCCACCGCGGACTTGGTCTCCGCGGGGGCGCGCGCGGGCACCGCGGAGGCCGGAACCGGCCCGGGCCCTCTCTGCGCACGCGCGGACCCCCACGGAGTCGCCGGGAACGCGGGCGTAGAGAAACCCCTCCCCGCTTCCCGCGGTGCCTCCCGGCTCCTCCGGCCCTTGTCCCTGCCTCACCCCTCCTCCCACCTCCGCGCGCGCGCGCACCCGCCCAGGCTTTCACAAGAACTGGAAAAGCGAGCCGGGCCTGCGCCGGGGGATTCGTGGGATCTGCCAGTCCACCCCCGGCGATGGGCCGTTACCACCCTCTTAAAGGAGCCCTGGAAGAAGGGAATGGCTCTATCCCGGGCGTTTGCATAAAACCGGGGGCTCGGTCCTCATACACGGAAACGACTGTCGGGAACTCCGAAGTGTAGGGAGATGGGGGAAGAATGACTACAAACCCAAAACCTTTTCCCAAGCCTGTGTTTTCCAAACCATGGGTTATATTATAGTAATTTCTAGGGGACCGTGAGATCAGTTTGGCAGATCGAGACCACTACTTTTTTGTGTTTTAATGAAATGGGAAGAATCGAACACGATATAAAATCTCGGAATGCATCCCGGGTAAAAGGAGTTCTTTGAAATTTTTATCCCAGTCTTTTGTATCTATGTGTCCCAAGTAGTAATGTAAGATGCCTTTCTTTATGTGGGTCTGATCAAACAAAAAAGTTTGAGAAACGCTGTTCTTTGCAAAGAAGCTTTCAGAAATAACAATCGTGCATTGTGTTAAACTGGCCTTACTCCCAGGAGCTGAGGAGCATTCCAGATTACAGCATTCTTCCCCTGCCTGGCCCTCGTGATGCAGAAATGGTGATTCCTAGCGTTTAGACTGGCATGTGTACAGTAACTTAGTGAGCTCCCCTCTTCAGTTGAGAAAACTGGAGAAAAGCACGTGTGTCATTCAGAAAATGAGTACAGAAAACCTTGCATAATGTGCACGCATAGTAAAGTGTGTTGAAGTAGCCCTCATTAAAATAGCCCACAAAACGTTGTTTTCAGTACAAGTGGGTAGTTGCCTAAACAGTTGACAAGAATCACAAGGACCAGATATACTAATGGTGTATCTGTGTGTGTATAGAGATGTTCAACAGTCTAAATTTCAATGAACTAGAGCTTCTACTAAATTGTTCATTTGCCATGTATACATTTCATTACCTCATTTAACAATTGTAATTAGGTAAACCTGGCACAGTGGATACAGGATGAACAGATTATAATCCCTATTTTGCAGAGGTGGTGGAGGTAAAAACATGGGGAAAATTATCAATGTCGTAAGTGCCACGTTAAAGGTATAAGCAAGGCACTGAAGTATGGTAGCAATCATCTCAGGTAGAAACTATAGTTTAACTTTAACCCTGCTGTTTGGCTTCTGTACTTATTTGCTTTGTTTAACAATAGAAAAGTTATTTTGATTTTCTGAATTATATAAATCACCCCATTCGATTGAATACCCTATTGATTGTACTGTGAATATCCCATTGGTTGTGGTCATACTAGTCTTAGAAAGCACATTTTCCTTTACCTGGGAAGGACAGCACAATTATCCCAAGGTCAGAGGGCTCCAGTTAACGTGTTGACTCAGTGTTCCGGAGACCCAAAAACTGTGATTTAGGTAACATGTTGCTTCTGCTTCTATAAACTGCTTTTTTGCAAACCAGGTTCCTCATTCCAGACCCTAGGGCTCTAGATAATGTGTTTCTGTCAATTCAGTGATCCAGAAACCCAAAACTATAATTTAGATAACATGCTGCTTCTGCTTCTGTAAACTGCTTTTTTGCAAATCAGGTTCCTCATTCGAAACCCTGGGGTGTAATCAATACCTTTGTGATTTTTGCCTATATAAATCTGGTGTTGCGGCCATCTTATCACAATGAGATCTGGGAGAGCAAAATGCCCCCTCATAGTCCCAGATTTGCAATAAATGTGACTCTTTAATTCGACTTCTTGAGGCGTCCTTGTGTGATTCGCGGGGTACATTACAACAGCACAAAAGAGTAAATGCTTAGTTTTTCTAAATCTAGAGCCTTCAATTAAGGCTAGACACAGAAGATGATTTTATAGCTGAATCTTAAAGACCAGAGAAGTGTTAGGTTTGATTGAGCAATTGAATTGATACTCCTCCCCTGGGAAGTGGCTTTCCAGGTCATTTCACTATAGATATTCCCTTTGCTGAGACCACATTTCACTTGTGGTGACCACATTCCATTATCTCCCCTCCAGGTATGCATAAAGAAGTATCCGCCCAGAAAAAAAGCCCACCAAAAGACCTTTAAAAGCCGATGACTACTGTCACTGGGTGCTGGAGCCATCCAGGCTCAACCACCTGGTGTGCAGATGATCGAATAAATTCGTAATCCCTCACCATTCTGGCCTTGTGCGTTCCTCCTTCAGTGACCTAACAAGAAGAAGTTGCTCAGAAGGACAAAAGGAAAAATTGCTAATTGAGCAATAAATTGCTTAGTAATGTAAAAGTATTAGGAATCTTGGGAGAAAGTGACTGAATGAATAATTTTAGAGTCTGTAGCAGCGAAGGAACAGCATGCAAGTTTAGTCCAAAATGTCTGGCCTGGCCTGTGTGGCTCAGTAGTTGAGCACCAACCCATGAAACAGGTCACCATTCGATTCCTGGTCAGGGCACATGCCTACATTGCTGGTTCGATCCCCCTATACAGGAAACAGCAGATCAATGATTCTCTCTCATCTTTGATGTTTCTATCACTCTCTCCCTCTTTCTTCTTCTCTCTGAAATCAATAAGAACATTTTTTTTAAATGTAGTCTGTATAGGAAATAGACTATATTTCAGAAGAAGGATATATTTAGAAAGTAGACTGTAGTTCAGAGGAAAGATAAGGATTCACTGGGCAAGATATTCTAAAAGGTACCCTTGATCAAGAAGCATGGGTGATTCTTAAAAAAAATGAAATTAGATAATATGAGCTCATAAATTATAGCTGTTCATAAAGCCCATCAGATAAAGATCTCCAGGGCCAAACCTGTAACCTAACAAAGTTAGGTGTATTAACTTGCAGCAAAGAACACCACACAGCAGAAGACTGTGGGCATGTCTCCAAAAAGGGAAGAAATGGGGGTCGTTATAGTATTAGGGGAAGGGGAGAGTTTAAGTAGGATCTAAGTGAAACAATACTTAAGAGACTCAGATCAGTATGTAAATGGGTTAATATCAGACCTCAGTTGACAAGCAGACTCTGGGGTCTATTTCCTTGGGGAAAAAAATTTAAGATTAATGTAGAATATTGTGTCCCAGAGTCCTTATCTGAACCTATGCACTCACTCTAAATCAGTGGTTCTCAACCTTCCTAATGCCACGACCCTTTAATACAGTTCCTCATGTTGTGGTGACCCCCAATTTCATTGTTTCAAACTGAACATAATTAAAGCATAGTGATTAATCACAAAAACTATGTAATTATATGTGTGTTTTCTGATGGTCTTAGGCGACCCCTGTGAAAGGTTCGTTCGACCCCCAAAGGGGTTGTGACCCACAGGTTGAGAACCGCTACTCTAAATTGAGGCTGCTTCTCTAAGTGAAAGTGATTTGAAAAGTTGACATCCGCCAGGCAAAAAAGGAACACTCTGTTCTTAATATGAGTTCCAAACAACCAAATTCGGATAACCTATGATTTTAGAGAACAAGGTTTCTCAGCATTGTCCTTTGATAATTAACCAAAGCAATTTTTCTGGCTCACAGTTTATAATACTGAATAATTAAGAAAAAATATTATTTTATCAGTAGAACTCCAGGAGCTCTGACTTTTAGAGAGTTTGACCTATTGAGAATAGGGAGGAGAAGGTCATAGGGAGTTAGGGAATCTAGAAAACCTCTTAAGAGATGTGGTGTTAGCCAGCCTCCAACACTGTCCTCAGTAATCCTCGCTTCCTGGCATTCATGCCCATGTGTAATCTCCCTCACATCAGAGCTGGTCTGTGTGACCAAAAGAGTAATATGTCTTCTGAGACCAGATCATAAAAGGCCTTGTGGCTTCCACCTTGGTCTTTTGGCTTCCTTACTCTTGGGGAAGCCAGCTGCCACAGTGAACACTCAAACAGTCTGGAGAAGAATTGAGGACTCTTCCCCTCCCCCTAAGAGACAGCACCTGCCTGCCAGCCTTGGAAGCAGGTCTTCCAACCCCAGTCAAGCCTCACTGCTGCCTCAGGAGCAGCCCTGAGCCAGCTGGCCCAGCCAAGATGCTCCTAAATTCCTGACTCACAGAAACTGTACAAAATAATAAATATTTATCATTGTTTTAAGTCAAGCATGTCAAACTCAAAGGCTAACATGGGCCAAATAAACAACGTTTAAGTTTATATGGGCTGCAAGAAAATGAAAGGTTCAATTTTCTTAGAAACGTAGGTTTATTTTGATAGAGACATGCTGAATACAAAGGGCTGAAATCAATGAGTAATCGTTAGCATAAAATAATAGAACATTTTAATAAAAATTAATATTTTTTCTTGAACATTAACTTACCAGACACTGAATAACTGAACAAAGTAATAAGCGTAATGCAAATAAACCTATTTTTCTTGTTCTCTGAAAGTGAAATATTTCCTGTTGTACACATCAAACAAGTCAGTCCAAGACTAATGACGTGGCAATCGGCTGCTAAAATATTCGTTGCTAGTATTAGTGGAGAGAAATGGTGCGCCTGCATGTAAGGCGAGTAAGAGAAATGAATGTAACACGATTATAGTAATCAGTCATTAGCAAACGTTGCAGTTCATTATTAATAACTAGAGGCCCGGTGCACAAAAAATTTGTGCACTGGCGGGGGAGGTAGGGTGGGGGGTGTCTCTCAGCCCCACTTGTGCCCTCTCACAGTCTGGGATCCCTCATGAGATAACCACCTTCTGACTTAGGCCTGCTCCTTGGTTGGCAGATGGCAGGCCCGATCCCTCGGTGCCTGCCCTGCCTCCCCGGTTTGCGCACACGGCAGGGCTGCGCACACGGCAGGGCCGATTCCAGGGGTTGGGGCACCGCCCTGGGTCAGGTCACACCCGGGAAGCTGGGTGGGCTGGTGGATTGCTGCTGCCCCACCCGGCCTCCCTGGGTCGGGTTGCACACAGGACGCCCGGGCAGGCCGGCAGATCGCACATGGGATGCCCAGA